GGTTCAACCCGGTGGAACAAAATTCTCAACATCACACAAATAATACGTTTCTTATCAACACAATAACTATGCATAACGTTTTGTACTGACATCTCAGTTATATTTGCTTAATGTCGTGATATGTAATTACGAATTATGTCCACTTATTGAGTTCGTTGGTGACGTGAATCAGGAGATATTCATACTTACAGTGAGTTCCACTACGAAGTAACATGGGTGTCTCTGATTTCAATTACGTTTTATATAATGCATTAGTGAAACTTTGTGGTTGACTTCAACCACACAACAATCCCCATCAAGTGGTCGCCCAAATAATTACAACCATGCTATCGATAATCCGATGTCTGTAGTTTGTTAGCCGTTATCTGGTCGTAAATAAAAAATAAAATCTAGAAGCAATCGTCTAGCCAACAACATTACGTGCAATTCACTGGGCAGTTGCGAGATTTGTAATACAACTATTTTTTAATAGTGGAAATAGTAAAAAAAGCACAATAGCAAAATTGTTCACTCAGGTCATTCCATAAACACACATCGGTACATTGGTATAATCATTATATCCTCGGGGGCGGACATCCGGGCATTTTCTACCGCCTGGCAACCCTCGCGGTGAAAACAAAGACCCAAAACCCGCAGAAAACGGTACTTTGCGATGGTTGTTGAGAGTCCCCTGAACAGTGTAACAAGATTAGCCCTACGTGTGTAACATATATGAATTTGGTTGTTTAGGATTACTTCAAAGTTGAGTTTGGGTTGTTTTCTCGAGTTTTGACCGGCTCCACCGGCGTTCCACAACAGCGCGCACGAAGCCCATAGAAATAGTGGTACAGTGGTGCGCGTCTTAGCAACGTAGAACGTCCGTGACGTAGCTCCGCCCCCGAGGATATATTCGCCTATATCTAGAATATGAGATGATGTATATAGTGTTTTAGCATATAGTTTAAAGAACGCCCGATTCACTGGCAAATTTAACACGTACTATCGCTTTTGCTACCTTGAGCTATGTATCTCTCCATTGAATTTGGAGACTTTCCTGTGACTACCTCCCTGCACCCAAACAATGTTTAATATCATACTTGTTGGAACTACAGAACACATAGGAAATGGAATACGCATATGTGCAATCTGTGAGATAACACCCGTGTCAACTTTCATACTCGGGTCCATCTTTCTAAAAGGATGCCTGCGTGAAAACGGCCGAGATAATCATCATGGATTTCATGCGATATCTACCAGGATTTGAGTAGATTTATTTGAATGTGTTACATTTAGCATATTTTGTTTTTTTTCATTTATTGTTGAATTGACTCAATTTTATTATCTGCAACATTTAACTTGGAATATTGCATTGTGGGTTGCTATTCCAAGGTAAAGAGGGTTGTGAGATTCCAAATCTTTCAGGGGATCGACGTTAATTTCCATTCATTTTGTTTCTCTTGAGACAGACGTGGAAAGTAGATAGAGAGAAGAGAGTACGAGAGTACGCAGAATGCAATGCGCATGAGAAAAGAATCGGCAGTGTACATGCACATTATTGATCATTAACCAGGCCTCCACTGGAAACTATATACTTGCTAGTTGTTTTCCAGGGTGAGTAGACGGTTGACTGCTTCGTTGCTGTAGTAAAATTGTTTCTTTGAACAGGGAAAAGCACACTTTATACAAGACGCTTACATAGTACATGTCGATGATATGCGATGTTGATTTTTACGCAATAGTTTTGCCATTTTGTTTCAGGTGTTTTCGTGAACAACTGACTTTTAAATACGTTGAGCATGTACAATATGATGCTGGGTCCCAGGTCATGGAAACTTGTTATTGGATCACAATGTCTAACATGAACACTGCGAATATTTTACAAGAATCTGTTATTTTGTCATGTTGTGGGATTTAGGTATCAACGTTTCTAGACTGTTTCCAAGCTGATCTAAATGCTAATTATTCACGTAGTCGCATTACGGGAAAGTTAACCAAATAAATAAATTGAAGCGATCATAAAAACTAGCGTCCTCTTTCCACTTCTATTACATTTCACGTGACACACGACAGTAACATGTATAAACAATGTATTATCATTAATAATCGGGAATTAAATACCATAAATTGAATGAATGTTAAAGTAAGCGTTTATATTTAATAATTAACAAAACAACGATGATGACAATAGATGGACTGCACATTTTCCATACGATTCTGCGATAAAGTAAACCATAAATCGATCGATATATTTTGCTCATATTGGTTATTTCGATTTGTTTGGTGAGATTGTTAATTCAGTGTTCTGTTACTACAGGACAACTACACATACATTACCAACTGAAATTGAAAATCATATCATTAAACTATTCGATAATGTCCTCAAGTTTGGAATATGCAAGTTGCACGAAAGAAAATTTAAATTCAATTTAATTTAATATTCAATTACTATATTAATGAATGAGCATTTCAGTACAGTACCCGACCGCACATTTTGAACTATTTGATTGAAAGTAAATAATGCATGATTGATTAATAATATATGTACAATATACAATCAGCACTAACGACAAGAGAACATGCACAGAAGCTAGGAACAAATGTTTCACATGTTTTATCATTATGGCTGATTCTTTTCTCATTATCACCATCGGCAACGTGGTTTATATGTCCTTTTCCGCAACTGAAGTCGTTCGTCAGTCTACTAAACCAAGGTCAAAACAATTATCAAGTTTATTTGTTCTGCATAAGAATGTATACGTCAGTAGGTCGTCCACTTCTATGATATTTCACACAGTACATTTTTTTGGAGAAAACTAGGCTGAAAACATGCAGAAATGGGTCGTTTTATAACTAGTTATTTATAATTCGCGAGAATCAATAACAAAACAACAACAAAAACAACGACAACAACAACACGTGGGATGCACAGGATCATGCAATAAGTTGACCGGCAAAGCGTAAGCTTGTTATTTCGATTTTGAGTTGAGCTCGTTCTAGTGTTATATTACTACAGGGCAGTTGCACTAACGTTATCAACTAAAATGAAAGGCGAGCCATTGAACTATGGATAATATCACCACATATCATCAGGCTGAATTGAAATACAAATGGGAATATCCACATTTCAAGTTCAATTTAAATATTCAATTAATATAACAGTGAATGTACATTTCAGTTCAGTGCCCACCGCACATATTGAAATATTTAATTAAAAGTACATATTGCTTAATTGAATATTAATATACATGCAATCTATTTTAATAAGAATAGAACATATACAACAAATGTTTCGTATGTTTTATCGTCACCATGATTGATTGTTTGGTTGCTGAAACTTTCTGACATTTCACCTTATTATCATCACGCATCAATATCATGGTGTATATTTCAATTTGTACAATTAACCATACGATTTACATGACTATCATCAGTACTTTTATTAATATGTTTTTTGTTAATTAAAATTTGTGAATAATACACATTTTTGCCTTTGGTCGTATTATTGGTTCATTCCTTGTTTGACTTTATAGTAGGCTGGAAGGTTTTTGTACTATCAAGTTAAGGTTATTTTTTTCATGACAACAAAATACAAAATGTCCACAATCAGGAGATGAACTATTACAACGTATAGAGTTTCCATTCAAAGATAGGAACGTGTGTGTGGGTATCTGTTTAATATTTTCAGCCGATTAAATTCCAGTTTTTCATGTGTCTGTCCAAAACAATTTTTTTTTAATATACTCTCGCATATCCGATATAAAAGTGAAGTTAACATACTCAACCGTAGATCACTAAATACAAATTTGAATATGGAATACAAGTTCTTTGGCACAAAACAACTACAATTAATAAACATAAACATAGCGAATAAGCTGGAAAATGTTTAACCAATTAAAACCAATTAAAAAATGTAATTGATGTAAAGGTGTAGAAAGTGGTGATATTAAATTAAAGCCATCTGTTTACTTACACAGTTTGACTGAATGCTAGCCATGAGAGTCAAATTCAAGTATTCAAGCAGACAATTTAAATTTATTTAGTCTCTTTAATTTAAAGTTCCGCTGCATATACTATTGAACTGTAATCACTAAATTTAGGATAGAAGAATTTCACCAATATATCCGAATGTGAAACGATTTGAATCTTGTGTTTCTTTTGTACTAAAGAACATTTTAATGAATTTAGTTTCATACAAATAAAGAAATAAACCGAAATCATCAAGGAAGCATAATTTGAATGCTGATATCTTGTTGAACAAATATATCCTCGACAAATAGGTTGTCAAGCAGAAATAATAAAATACTGATATTTTTTATCTGTATTGAAAGAAATATTGATATATTTCAAATATCCACATGTGATTTATACCACACCGTGAACGTACTGCATTTAACAGCTCATTTGTTGAACATTTTGGATAACCAATGTAATTAACCCAATTGTGTATGGTAATTTATAAGAATGAGCGATCTGCTGGCGAAACTTATTGATGAAAAAAATGTGATTATCAAATCAGTCAATCAATCAAATTTTCAAGTTCAACAGAATCTGAAATGCATCTGCAATAATAAGTATACATAACAATATCGGTCATTTCATTGGAATATACTACATTTATTCACATTTATTCGGCACAAAAAATTATTACATGAAAATATAATATACATTGTTCCGCGAAGATATATTACATATATGTTGTACCACAATCAAAGGAAAGAAGTTCTTCATTATAATTTGAACTGTGAACTGTAATGTGCGAAATGAAATAAATTAATCTACTTTTTAACACAGTTCATAATTAGAAGTAATCAAGTTCACATTACGAGTGTGTACAATACAATACGTCGTTACAATATAGTTAAACACATGTACAGTACTAGTGTACGGGAACAATTGGTTCAATCATGAGAGATATTCATTAGGCTTCATCTCTGTTAATTTAAACAACAGATGTTTTGCGATTCGAAAATAGGATAAAATAGCCCCACTAGCTGTTGGGCTGCCAACCTGAACACAAGACGTGTCTTTACCAGGTAAGGTTCTGTTTTTAGTATATTGTGTTTTAGGCGCATATAGTTAAGAATATCGCTGTACTCACATGTGGCACTGTATATTTCACACTGCTGGCACTGTATATTTCACACTGCTGGCACTGTATATTTCACTTTATATATAGTTTCTTTATAATACAGAATATATTTCGGCGAAATATTTTTTTTTCAATCATACATTTTTTTCCCATTAACAACACATTGTTCCCTTGGTTTGAGTCATCAATTTAAACCAACAATGTATTGTCTTTGCAAAGATTGAAAATAATCCTTCGCTGATTTTATCACTTTCAAGTGGTACCTAGTTGCCGTAATATACGAAATCTATTTTTTGTCTTACATCGCAGTCATGGAAGCATTGTGGAAGATATGTTTTATGTTCTTAGGAGCTCTGTTAGGTAAGAAATGTTTAATGTGTTTATTATTTACCAGTTTCATCAAATCAATCGTGAAAATAAGGTATGCAATTCGAGACGCATTACACTGAAACTGGGTACTATTTTTTATTATAAACAGCGATAATCAGGCACACTGCGCACTAATGTTAACTGTCATAATATCATCTTTCCCGTCATACACGTACAGCATACTCTCAAATTAACCTCTTATTTTTTGTTAACTGTAATGTAATGACTGACATAAATCACTCCACAAAGGTGTCTGCTTTGTATAGTGACACCCGACACCAACCCAACATCTATTCTATATCCTCCGTCTAGGATCCACTGTGGCGGTCAGAAACTGTGACGTCAAATTACCAGATAAATGTTACACTGTCCCAGACAATTCGCTGGGATGGTCAGAAGCCCGGAGCAAGTGTCAAGAACTTGGTGGTGACTTGGCTGTTCTTGAGAGTGAACACGTCCGTGATGCGGTCAACGTACTTGCAAAAAGGTAAATACGATTAGCATTGCACATAGTTTGACATAACAATGTTTTACATTGACCAAGTATAAACATCAATGACGATTGTATGTACGATTACTGTGTGCACGGTAATTGCGCACAAAATTGAAAGTTGTTGCGCAAGGAATTCGTATAGTTAGAAAATGTGTCTATATCAGTATAAATGCTTTAACATTTCTCGGAAATAAAGTATAATTCACGTGGTTTAGTAACACGGATATAAGCACACAAATCCTACAATACAGAACATACTTTCGTGAATACCTTTGCTCGACATGCTGCATGTCATAAATAAGCCTAAAAACACCCAAAGTGAAAATGCGGAACATAATAATTGACGCCCTCTAGCCAAATGTAAACCACGTAGTTATATACAATGTGCAGTCAATGAGGTTTTTATTTTCCACCACATGCACAGAAACAGTCTGACGTAATGATCGTAGCGTATGCAATTACGCATATTTCATGACAGTCAGTGTGGCGAGGCAGGGAGCGAGTTTATTGTCTACTCTGTGTTTGCCGGGATCACGGACTCCAATCCCGTGTTCAGTGTTCTAATTTACGTATATAATGTTTGTCTGTAATTATGTATATATATCTCCGAGTATTCAGTCAGGTGGCCAACAATTACGGACGTCAAGACTAACGTCTACTATTGCCTGCTATAGCAGTTTTGAGGCATGCATCACTTTATTGACAATAATAAAGGTCTATACTGGTTTTCTCAATATTTAACTTTTTTCGATAATGCGCCATAAACGACCATCTTCGCCCAAGCGAAGTTGTTTATTTAAACTTGAACATAAATACTTGTTCTACATTGTGAACTTCCTTAAACATTAGAAATATTCACAAATAATGGATATTCCGCTCACTGCGAGATCTCGCGAGATACCCTGGCAACTGTTGTCAGCCACGTGACACAGGTCAAGCTTTGGTTCAAAATGGCGTCCTTTCATAACGTTGTGCGTTTTTTGTTGACCTTATTTCCACGCTTGCGACACGTTTATCGTTCTTTTTACGTTTAGATGATGTCGACAAACACGCAGAGCCGCGGCTCTAGGGCTTTTTACGAAAATTTGGTGTTTCAACTTCGAATTCTCACCCCTTGCAGTGGCTGGTATTGGGTCTAGATGTGACGATTTCGGAACATTGCCTCCAATAAAGTGCATGCTCGGCTAAGCGCCCACCCCCTTCGAAATGCTTTTAATTTGACTGTCTAACTTGGTCTATGATCATTGCTTAACGAATACTGGTAACCGCTTTTATATGATACAGCGTGGATATTGTGACCCATTAGGTCAAATCGTTCAAGAATATGTCATGGCGTAAAGTGTTTTTCATCGAGATTTTGCGTACGATCCAAAACATTTGACAATGAAGATAATGATGCATATCTTGACTTCGAATGTGTTCCAACAGACTCTAATATTTTTAACCTCGTAAATTCGGGTAGTACGGAATTAATATTGTAATAAAATGTGCATATTTTTTTGCGACCATTTATGTTTCTTCATTCAATGACAACGCAATTAATTTCGTAATTTTATTTCCCTCAAAGACGCACTATCTCCCCCTATCTTTCGCATAGTCATTGCGATTTTCTGAGTGAGGACACTGGGGTGCGGTGTCTTTCAAAGTCATCGGCACGAGAACAGGCACTGATCCACCGATCACATTTCCCAGGAAACGTGTAAAATACCTACCATTCGTCTAATTCTTTAGATGAATCGAGAATCGCTCTTGCATTCACCGTATAGCGTTTTTGTACAGTCGATATTGTCGTGTGAACGGTATACGGCAGAGTGAACAACGGCGCTACCACCGTCTCTAGGGGAAAGCTTGACCGGTGTCACATCATTGACACGCAGATCGCCGCAAGCCAACCGATCTGATACATACCGCGCGTGGAATTATGGGAAAAGTGGTCGGAACTATTTCCACTTTGTGGCAATCAGGGGTGTCAATGCAATATTGAGAAAAATTAGACCTTTGACCTCCCAATTTATATGCATTATAATGTTAATATGTTAAAATAAGATATTCTGATGAGTGTTGTGTGTTATTTTAATTGATCAACTCATTAAAGATTGAATCTTGCTAAAAATCGGGGGAGGATGTGTTCAAAACAAGAAAATACTTTTATATAGTTCCACGGCAGAAACGCTGAGAAAAATGGTAGCGGATGGATATTTAGCCTTCAGAGGCTAGTTATGCGTCATAATACACAGGTCTGTGCTGAATAGCGCCACCTGTGTTGACACAATGGTGTCACATGGAACTGGTTGCTAAAGACGTAAAGCTTGGCCACGCGAGATCTCGCAGTGAGCGGATCATGGCTTATTTCAGTTCACAAGTCTATGTTGCCCTTAACTCAACATTCGGTTAACTCTTAACTGAACTTCGAGTTACTAAATGTGGACGTTAAATTACAAATTAATATTGCCCGTAACTCGAAGTTCTGTGAACTGTTAAATGAACATCGAGTTACAATTTGGGCGTGGTTTCTCAAAAGTTGGCGTGGTTTCTAAAATATGGATGTAGGCATTCAACATTCCAGCATTTACCTCCAATGTGCCACCCGAAATTATTGATTTTTATTTTGATGTCATGAGAAATATCTATATTGTTTATTTGTTCATGAGTTATTCAAGAGACTTGGGTATTTGTTTTGGCGGCGTGGCAACCATGAAAAGTACAATGCTATTGGAGGGTTTACTCACCCAAAGGGACTTTTCACAGTTAGGATTATCTTGTATATATTTCGCCGTTCCCGACAGAGGGCGCACTCACCTAATGTTCGCTTGATTTCCTCGGGCTTCGAGACTGCACATTGTTTCTAGTGATGAAAGTATTGGAACATTTTTTGCAATTTGAAGGTTGTTTTATTAGGGTAGTGGCATCTAGTGTAGTGGTAGTCTTTAAATGTTTACTTAGTGTAATTGAAGGAGTACACCATTTAAAGGTTTTATTGGTTAGGGAATCAGATTGAGGGAGTTGTGTTTTACTGATAATGGTAGATTTCAAATTAAAAGTCGATTTGCAGGCTTTTCATTTTGTTGTGTATTTGACTTTCTTTCCTCCTGATGAAACATGCCTCTCGGTGTAGGTTCAATTATCATCCATAATATTCCTGCACCTTTGCTCAATGTTCGACATGTCCTTCAGGGGTTTTATTAGGGGCCCAAGCCTGTAAGGCGTGGCCCCTATTCTTATTGTCCGGTTTTTTCTTTCTTCTTTCTTTCTTTCTTTCTTTCTTTCTTCCTTCCGTAACTTTTTTCGTCAAGCCGTTTGAGAAAACCGCTGAACAGAATGATCTGATAATGCTCTATACTGATAGTCCCTAATGTGAACTGGTGCAACATGCTTTCAGAATTTCGATTGGTCAATTAGTTTGGCAGCCATATTGGATTGAAATAAAACCGGAAGTGACTGTTTGACCACTTTCTGAGGGTCTAGGCGTCTAGATTTTTTATGGTATATAGTACAACTCATGTGTAATAGATATCAGCAATAAAAAC